GCCACCTCACGGCCGGCAGGGACCACTAGCCTTAGGCTGTTATTGAATTTGCACTTGGAGTAGAGTATATGAATTATAAGTGATGTGTTGCGTTAGCGGGGTAGGCTTTCCCCGCCCAATTAAAGTGGGCAGAGCCCCTCAGAGAAATTTTGGAGACCATCTTCTACCCCCAAAGAGGGGCCGGTCGCGTCAAACTTTTGGGGTCGGATCCATCAAAGGCAGGAGGGCAAGTCAAATCAGGAACTGTTCCCTGTCAAGCCTCAACTATTTGGAATCAAGTGGACGAGGTTTGGGTATTGATTTGGCTTAATACCGTAGTCAAAAGGCGTCATCTGATAAGACCTAGGACACCCAGAGATCCCGGGAGCTAAGCGCATATCCAGGGAGAAAATCGAAAGATTCGATACCCATGAGAAGAGATTATGGGTACACCTGGGGCGGTATCAGTTCGAGTACAGGGTGATGATGCACCAGCTATCACTCGACCGCGGCAATTGGCTGCGCACTAGTTCAGGTACTGAGTAATTATGGCGATGATGGCTGTGTGGTATTGGCAGCGGTAATCTCTATCAAGGGGAAGAGGACATCCATGAATTCGGTGAACAGAGGTCCGTTGGGTCTCAGATCCGATGCTTAGCCACACTATTGGCCGAAGAACGCCTTTCCGTCGTCGACATCCATACTCTTGAGTGCCGACTCTCGAGGAATAGTCCAATCGATTGTTAGATATGACAAAATAGTTGCATTTCGACTCAAGCCTCGGACTGCCAACACACGCAGGTACCACCACTCGAACGCACCCCTGACCAAAACAGGTAACGAAAAATGAAAGAGTCTGAGTCGAGTACGCTGTAGCCGGTTTCTGGACCTCTTGAATTGAGCTTCTTTCTTACATACCAATAACCCTCAATGTTCGATTGAGGGGGTATCCAGGGGGCCGGGAAGGCAACTATGTCTTAGGTCGTTTCCATGGAAGTTTGAACATGAGCTCCTCCAAACGCTTCTATCTCTTACTTACAGAAATAACCATCTACATAGATGTCAGCACGAATCATATACCACTACATGTCAAAACGTAACTGGCATCCAGCTCAGACCCAATCATAGCACATTCTGTTCTTATCTCGTTCCTTCTACAAGGATCCACTTTACTTACAATCAGATAAGATAAGATCCAGCGTTACTAGCATAGGTAAGACAACCGGATCAATTCCTTGTTTTTCCGGAACTCCTTTTTTTTCCCTGCATATCGCTTGTCTATCAACGTCAAAAACCTGGAAGTTGGATCATCATGATTTAGATCATACTTTATATTTCATAGATCTGCCAGCCGGTGATCGGCGGACTGGCGACGTTCTGGAAAGCTTGAAAATCAAGGATCCCGAAATCGAGGTGCGCTGGGCATGAGATTGCCGGGGGTTCGGCATCAGGTATCACTCGATCGGTAGTGAGCGCCATGGAATGACCTGGGTTTGGCTTCCGTGTTGGGTAATAGAAGTACGGTTTCGTATGGATGGAACGGCACGTAGTCGAGCCGGCCTCAGAAACAATAGAGGTTTATTGCTAAGGTGTGAAGGTACTCGCGTCTAGGATAAAGAACCAGAACATGCAAATGCCTAGTTTGTATGGCAGCTCAGCGCCACTCCATACAAATAATCCCTGCTTTCTCACTTGCATGTTCTGGTTCTTTTTCCTTGACGCGAGTATGGATGGGCTAGACGGGGGGATGGGGGGACATCTGCTTTAGCTACGCCAGTTGAAAAAGTCGGATAGGTTTGGTAGCTGATTTAGGCAAAGACTTTCTGTCTGTCCAACTCATATAGCTAGAACTCTCCAATAATCTTGATTTTCTGGGCATTTGTTTGGCGAGTCCCAACTACTAGTGTCTTCATCAATTTCTAACCTATCAATAACTTGCTCAAACGCGCTTTCATGGTCGAAGTTCGATTTAACCCAGGTTAAAGCAAACGTCTCTATTTCAATCCAGTCTTCTAGCCTCTATCGAAAGTTCTCAACCGTTTCCATTTATGATGATGAGGTTTCCGATGTCTTGCCTGGGCCGGTTGGGTTTGGTTTCGGCCCAGCCCGGCCAGTTGAGCCCTCGGAGGTCCATTGCCGTCACGACACTATCCGGGCCCCAGATGCACATCCATTATAAGGCGTGTAGTTTTGCAATTTCTTTTCTCGATATTATATCTTCCAAGTCCATTCGATAACACTACACAGCTCAGTGCTTCAGGCCTAACTGGTGTGTGAATATCTACGCAGCAGGTCTGTTAGTAGGTTTATATGTATATGTAGCAATTGTTTCAACATCGCAGTTCAACACGGTTAATCTAATCTCTAGCTAGCCGCCACCACATTGGTGGCCCGATAAGTTTACGCAACTTGGTTTTGGTAGAAGAAAGAAGAATAAAACTGTTGTAAAACACCTTGTGCATTTTTTATGGATGCAACTGGCTCTTTCTGAGGACCATCAAAGCCCAAGCTAGCCCGACCCGACTAAATTATCAGAACCCCTGATTTAATGTTAGAACCATGCATTGAACGGCTCCAATCCGATGTGAAGCCAGGTTCTTAACCTAGCCCAGTAGCCTCAGGCCGTGGTTTTCGATGGCCCCGAACATCTCGATGCCTGATATTCTGCAAGATTCTTTTATTAGCGACAGTTTATGCACTTTTATAAGCCTTCCCATGCTTTGTGCAGGCCACACTGCTGCCCACTCCCTGTATATATCCTTATCGGCTGCAGTTAGCTTCCCGTGTTTCTAGTCGAATGAGAGCGGCCGTCAAACGCTCCTACATGCATATATATAGCGAGTCAAGTCGACCCCACACCCATGAGCAGAATTCAGTAAACCGTTTTTTTTATTCCAAAGGACCCCACAAAAAAAAAAAAAAAAAAGAGCCTAAAAATAATTTGCATCAGGTCGTGGAACCCAGTGAGAAAGAAAGATAGGAACAAGATTCCCGTAATTGTGGAGTAAGAATAACTACATGTAGGTGCTCGCAGTTATAATTAACACCTACGACATGGTTCAATTTGTACAGGCAAACCTAGAAACAACGCGCGTGCAGCATTTTACATCATACGTCTCTTACATCACACGTACCGTGTATCTCTTAGTGAAAAATACAAAAAACAACATACCTGCCTTCAATGTCACAAGTACATGTACTTTGGACCTACATGTAAGTTAAGCATTATTGTACATACATAGACAGGGAAGCTGAAATCCTTTGGCATAGTTGGGGAAAACACCCTCCACCGCCTGGGCTAAGGCGTAAATTGACTCTAGTAGTACTACTACATGTAGCTATAGCGAATCTCATATCTCGGGTTACTAGAAATCCCCAAGTCTTCCTTTGATTGAAATTGATTCCATCAAGTGATTCCTTATCTCCTTCTTCTTCTCTGACTTTGCTTACTTTCCTGGCCGCGTTCCCTAGGGATTTTGAAGACCCTAGCTAACACGCAGTCGTCAGTAAAGATTTCTTGAATGAGCGGACCTGGAAAGAAAAAAATACCAAAGAATCTAGATCTAGCCAAGGGCTTCGAACTCCTTTCGGGGACTCGGTAGCCTTGTCATTGATATCAATCTTTGCCATACTCGCAAGTTACCACCTCCCGCAGATTACCATCACCATCTGTAGCAAGTTGGCCCAGAGGTAATACAAACTAGACATAAAAACCTTTCAACAGACCGCCCTGGAAAACATACACCAGTAGAGCCCATCTACAAAGAAGCCCCCCGAAGCTCGGGCCCGATCCAACATCGACAACGGCCCCCAACCTCCAAAACATCTCCACAGAAGTACCCCGCGTGCGTTTACACGCCACCAGGCCCAGAACCAACTCGCCGCTCATAGATGCTTCCGGTGCCCGAAGCCTACCACCAGGAACCCAACTTCCAACAACAACAACAACATCTCTCCAGCCGAACCCCCCTATTCCCCGGAGTACGGCCGGGCCTCGCCTACAGACATGTTTCTGGCGCTCGGGAAACGACACCAACCGACTGCCCAAAGCACCTCTATAGAGGAGTCCCATTTGCGCTAAAGTGCGACAAGCCCACGCCCAACTCTCCCGTAAACACACTCTTGACACTAGCATTCCCGAACAGAGTCGCCATCAAAAAGTATCTCTACAGAAGTCTACTCCATAGCAAGAAGTGCAGCACCCGAGTGATTATCCATGACTAAGGATAACACAGCGACTACAGTGACCGCATCCCCCGGCCACCAGACCACCCCGTAAAACTACTATCTCATACCTGAGCCTAGGGATCTACGATATGGAGACTCAAGCCCGAACGGAGCGCCCCCTTCACCAGATCTTGCATCTCCAACACCTGCCGCGTTCCACCACTCACCCACGCTACCCACCTACCTCTACCACTCTAGAGATAGATATCAAGATAGAGGACGCAACAACATTAAAAATTACAAAAAAAAACCCCCCATGAACGGAGCAGAGGCGCCTGCCCAAAAAACCCAGCCAACCAACCCCCCCCTCGCTATAAACCGCAAAACCACGCTTTCCCTTCAGCAGATTTCGTAACCCGCATCACTCCCCCCACGATTCCAGCCAGGGAATTGTGTATCTGTGAATGAGAGTTACGGAACCCAGGAACGGAGTAGCAAAAAGAGCCGGAAAGCAGCCAAGAGCCAAGGAGGGCCCAAAAGATCAGACACATCCCATCCTATCCTTTTTGCAAGATCTTGTAAAACATGCCACCGAGTTTGGAGACGTAAAGGCTCCTTGAATGGGGCGCTTCCTAATCTCTCACTCATCTCTTTGCCAAAAATTTGGGGGGGGGACCAAACAAGGCCCACTCTCAAAACCCTCCTCATACGTTCCTTCAATATGCCTCGTCCAGAATCGCACAGTCCCGGCAATACCTAGGATACTGCGGGTACTAGAAATACTGAACGGAGCGCTTTGCAAATCAAGAAACTTCAAAATGCCACCGCTGAATGGCAAAAAACAAAAAGATTAGTGGAGACACGGGGAATCGAACCCCGGACCTTCTCAAGGTTTCAACACCAGTTTGGCGCTGCAAATGAGATGTTATACCCCTAAACCATATCCCCTTCGTACCTTCTACTTGCGATGTCGCTTAGTATATTGGTCACGTGCAGGCGAGGCGTCGAAGTTACTCTTTGTAAACGGTTGTCACAGGAGGAGAGGGAGAGACTTGGTATCAAAGCATTGATATGGCCCCCAAATGCGCCTGATGCGAACAAGATAGAATCTCCTGCAAAAGAGGAGGCCTTCATTACTACGCCTCGCCTGTACGTGACCAATATACTAAGCGACATCGCAAGTATACATGTAATTTCGTAAAACCAAGCTTAGCGGTTATCGCCTTTGGGCCTGCCATCCAAATCAAGATGAATGATTGTTACTAAGCAGAGATAAGAATTAAGCTGTAGGTTCTACGATTGCCAGAACACAACTTAGGAAGCCACTGATTATTTCAACTACATGTATACATAATATTACTATACATAAATCTAACTATCCCTTGGACGGATGAAATTGTTGGGTATATCCGTTGCTCTTAATGGTTGAGAATAGCCATAGAGCCAATCAAAAATAAGTGTCAGATAACTGCTTGGGCTAACTATGTATACATAAATCTACTTTATCGTCTGTCCCTACTCGGGCATAGGTACATATATGGATCAGTGCCAGAAAATGCAACGGATTATTGATGTTGAGTGACGCCGGAACTATGCCGCTAACATCGGTATCGAGCGAGGAAGGTCAGGCTGCGTGGGGCAACAAAACATCATACGGAAAGGTCGCCGCCCGACATAGGTACTTGGAAGTGCTCTTCGAAGTCATCGCTGCTCTTAGGTGGCTTTGGCCCACGAAGATTACCTGACTAAGTGCGTGCACGGTCCAGGCTAGGAATTTGAAAGTTTCCAGTCCGGCATGCAGTCCAATAAGAATAAATACATATGTTTTTTGTTTTTTTGGATTGAAGTTACCCTAATCAAACGGTATTCTAAATCAGTCCATCAGTCGACTGACTGTTGGACGGGCTACCAAGCATTTACATGCAGTCCATACGCAGTCCACATCCCTTCGTCTGTATTGATGATAGAAGACCTTACCTATTCAAGTCCTTTTACTCCTAGTGAACCTAACCCGCACTCCGTGAATTTTCGCAAGTATGTACATAAGCCACAGCCTGTGACCCGGCCCTTCCCTTTTATGGCAGCACCAACTCCTCTTCTTGGCTAGATTCTTGCTAATCACTATTGCGCAGACGAAGGGATGAGTTAATAAGACCCACGAAATACCACTCGGATGGTGCGGTGATGAGGTCCAAGTTTCTGTTTCTACAAGCCACTTCGGCGCCCACTTCTCCGGCTAGGGCGTACCGAGATAACATTAATGGTATACTGTTAGCGGCCATTTATACTACATGTACTTGTGTATTGCATTGGCGTAGAGTAGAGTGTGGAGCACACCTAGATATGGTTGTGCGTGGGTAAAGTCAGGGCTGCTGCTTCAGTATGCATGTGTAGGAAATAGTGATTTGATAAAATATGTATTAAGCCTATTTATTTATTTCCCAATTCAATATATGTACGCGCAAATATGCACACGCAAATGTGTGTGCTTAGCATATACAGCGCGCAAGAACAGCGCGCATAAATATCCGCGCTCTTTCTCAAAGATAGAGACAACCAAGAAATGCCCGAGCTTTTTGTAGGATTATTCGTAGTCGCATAATTGAGCCAAAGATATAGCATCTCCTCGTGGTTGCGCGGAATGTAGCCCCTGGGCTCTAATCTCAATCAATTGGTTGAGTATCTGGCGCCCAGTATTGAGCGCTGCCGGACCGACTGCAAAATCCACATCGACTGGTTGGCTGCCACTGATACATGTTGGGCATTGGTCCAGTTTGTCCCTCGATTGACAAAGAAATCTCCGCACAGCTAAACCATCAGAAATAGAAACATGTGTGCAGCTAAACCATCAGACAACGAAACTGGCAGCGTGTAATGTATTAGAGGTGATCGCCTAGCCCGGCTTGTGGGCCGAGTACGTACAATCTTCTTTGGTTTCGAGATGTGTTTGATGGGGACCATCCAAGATGCCAGCTGAATCGCCCGCGCTGCATATATTCGCGCAATGACACTCCGGTTGCGGGGCGCGCTATTCCCACGCCCACCAAACTTGTTGGCTTCCAGTGCGGTTGTTTCTTCACACTATCCGGCGCGCGAGGGATCGAGTCCCTGCATATGGCTACATCGAGGAGTACGCGCACAATATTGATCTGCTACATCAATTGAACTGCGTAGCACTAATGAGTGCGCCCCACATTGATGTGCACGAGATTCTTGATTAATATAATCTGAGGTGTTGGTCCGACTAGATATTGCTGCTTAGGTGGATCCTGACCTTAATTTCATTTACGAAATTAGTCGTCGGGCATCCATCCCCCCTATGCCCAGAAGAATTAACCAGGCAGTTGTGGCGCCATATAATTCTCATTTCGCGCTGGTAATTTATGCTCCAGGTGCCCGGGATCTACTGCGCATACTGCAGCACCGTGGTCAGCCTATCGAATATCTCTGGATTGCAATGCTGATGGCAACTCTAAAGACAATATCATAACGCTTGGTGGGCGCAGGTTTCTGCGTACTAGTCATACTGACTCCCAGTTCTATGAGGTTTTCTGAGTTTTCTAGTGTGCGCAGGGCGCGTGATGCTATCATTGTATCAATGGGCTCTTTGACAGTAAGAGCGAAGCTGTTTTGCGCTACTGCGATATCGGAGAGTGATATATTCATGGGTAAACTGATTAATCCCTTTATGCACTTATAAAGGTGCTTATTTCGCTGTGTATAAGGTTCTCGACGATATATTCACACATGCATTAGGATTTTAATGGAATTAGGAGCATGTACGAGTGCAGCACATAAAAGCTTGCCAATACTACCGTGATGTAAGTAAGCTTTGGAGCGCGCGAGCACGGATGAATCTATACACTAAAGTTCTACTAATAGACAATTGGAGATATCATCGAAACCATACAGTCGCACCACATTCTACGCAGCAGATAAGCGTTGCGCAGGGGTAAGAGCTGGGAGCGCATGAGGAGGAGACGGCGATGAATTACTGTCAATAGGTGATTGTTAAGTGAGTGAGATGGAGGACATAGAATAGTACAAAGGAATGATTCGGCGCCCGGAGGTGGTCCTCCATACCGTAGGTCGGGCTGGCATATATGTAAGCCACCTAGGACGCCGCTGCGCGGTCTTGGGCGGGTAAAAAGTATGTAGTGTAGGTAATGAGGCCAAATTCACCAGGCTCAGCTTGGGACAGCCCGTAGACAATTGCTATAGACTACGGTCTGCATGCAATTAATGAATTAAACAACAACTGTTGTCTCTAACCCTAACCCACAGATCATTGGGAATGCTGTTCTGCATCACCCGCCTGCTCCGCAGGTAGGATAGTTCGTGCAGTGCGATGCATCACCGGTGGCCAAAACTTATTCCCCCCTCTGCATATGTCCCAGGTAAGGTCGTCGGTAATGTTAAGGGGATCAGGAGGCTTGGGGGGGTCCAGCTATAACGCCGCTATAAGTACTCTGCCACGGCCAAAAACTATGCCGAGTGATCTATCATGTCTCAATATTGCCTTAACGGAGGTCCCGCCTACGACTCACCACGCACACAACACTTAGGTTTAGGGGTTTGGGGGGGTATATTGGCGATCAAGTTTCGGAAGTCAAATGTTGAAGAGGTTGAGATTTAGGTAATAAACGCAACATAACCATGATTTACGTCCAAGAGCTACACATATCAAATTCAAGATCATAGTATCCGACAAAACCGTATTACAATTTACTAGAGCAGCTGCCAGTGTATTCTCCGAACCTCCGCCTTCAACAACCTTCCCTCACCGCAATCGCTTGTATCATCTGGTCCCGTTTCTATAGATCTTGGGATCATGGGACCTTCGATGTCTGCCGGTGTTGCAGGCCCAGACAAGTACGCACGCAGCTCCGCGGCAGGACGGGGTCCTCCTGCGTTGATTGACTCCTTACAATCCCTCAACACATTCTGAAGATCTCGGTTAGTGATCGGGTTATGTGTCAATGGGGAAAGACTGACCTCAATGTCATGCAGCACTTTAATGACTTTCAAGGTATCTCAAGTCCATTTTTTGGAAACATCAGAAACGAAGGTCTTCGAATGTTCGGCCGCCCCAACCTCGTGGCCATCAAGGAGCGTAACAGAGTCGTAAAGATGACCGACACGCCGCCGCCGGGGTCGGGTTTAGGCTTAGGCTGTTGAAAATTTTGTTTGCGGCGTCTCTATCTATACCCTAAACTCACATCATTAAATTCACTACCAACAGGTCGGCAGCTGCAGGCATCATGTCAGACAGACCACATAAGTCAAAATGTCAGAGCATTCAACATGACGATACAGCTACAGCTGCCTTGAACAACAGACAGCACTTGTGCCATCTGTGCCCTGTTGGTAATTCAGTTCAAACAAACAGGTCGACGACTGGGACCGCATGTGCCTTGAACAACAGACGACCACTTGTCATCAGTGCTCCGGTGAAACCGGATCGGCGATATTGATTTTCAAATTTTTGAACAATACAAATTTTTGAACAATATTTCTGAACATGACTGTACCACAGCCTGCCTTCTTCAATCACTGAGGGAGATCTTACATTTATATTATATCTGTTCAGCTGTCTTTGGGTTTCCCGAACACCCTCTGCCATCTTATCATCGTCAAGAACTCGACGTAGACCCCGTACCCATGCATCAGTGAGAAAGGATTTGACGTCCCGGCTTTTGATGGTAAAGATCTCAACGATGAAATCGGCTACATTCCAAAGGGCTGGTATGAGGTGGGTGTAGCACACGAAGGATATGTCTACTGATAATTAGACGGTTGTCAACAATGTAGGTACACGCTCATTATATGGAATCCTTGGGCTTATCTTGTTTACGTAAATCGCTAGTCGGATCGTATGATTCGGCCAATAACTATGCACGGCTTGGTCCATGAACCTATCAGAGGCTATCACTAGCAGTTGTTGGAAA